CAATTTGCGTATTTTGAGTCATCAAAAACATCATTATTATCTTTTGCACTCTAAGTTCTAAATGTCAGAACATTATGTTCACTTTGCTCACTGACCTTTCCAAACCCATCAACACTGTCAGCAGCGCTAATAACCTCGACACGCACAGCTATGTTTCTATCTCATGCTGTGCTATCTCCATGTTTAAAACAATGAGCCAATTGCTATGCGCTGAATTATTGTTCATCAATGTGCTCCATACAACATGTGCATGTTTGACATTATCAATCCAAAGCCGTTTGGTGGATAAGACACGTATTTTCACCTAATTGAAAATACACTTTAACAGAGGTCTTCTATGCACAGACATTCAAAATAGTTTATTTATTTGTAATATTTAAGGGCCCTAACAAACACTCAGATTGTCGATCTATTCAGATCCATGAAACAACACAAAGACATGTGCTATAGGCAAGGACAGCACACAAACACGCACACCAACTTCTACTTCAAAGTCTCTTTCATAAAACGTCTAAGCTCCACTGCGTCAGAGCTCAAAGTTCACATTTTGAGGGGTGAGGGGAAGCAAGTTGGCGCTTTGTGCTTTAAGGGAGGCGCGAGTATTGTGCAGAGAGATAAGAGTGCAGGACAATAGAAAAAAGGCCGCCTGAGAGACTGGACTGGAGTCTGTAGCCGGATTATCAGAGTGAAGCCGTGGAAGGAAAGGAGAGCAGAGGAGAGCAGAGGAGAAGGGAGTAGGCCGCCCCGTGTCTGTTACTGGGAATCATGGTTCCATGTAGAAAGGCACTCAAATGGGTGACTTCCTGTATTGATTGATGGGTGTTCCAGGGATTAAACCCTAACCTTGTATTGATCCAGTTCACTTTGGCAGTGTGGGGGATGGCTGTGGTCTCAATACAGCCGTTACATTTCCCCTCACTGGTTTCTTAATTTGAATAGACTATTTATCCCGTGTGTATGCATGAGCCAATGGACAACAGGGTTAAAATAAGAAACCCGGGGGAAGAACATTGGATAAAATCTAAGTTCCAGTGATACAGGGATCGAGAATAGACACCATTTTATGAACAGATTTAACAAAAACTACACATTTTGTATGATGCTTTATCTGGTTTTCTTTTTGCTCGATTGCTATCAGGTGTGCCTTCACGTAATCAGGTTTCAAAAGACAATAATTCTATTTATATATTTGAATGTAAATATCTAATTCTAATCATACAAAATTTGGTTCTAAAGTGTACATTTCCATAAGATGATAAAACACAATAAATGTCAGAGTACAATGGAGGATGAGTAGATCCAGAATGCATTTCAATAAGATTGCATAATATGAGTACAAACAATATAATAAGATAATACCAAAAACTAGCTGGAAAAATACATATATTTACATATATAAAAGAAAGACGATACTATACATAATGAATTATTCATTAAGATATATTACAAAGTCTTGGGAGGTGAATACTTTATACTGAGAAGAATCTTGGGTGAGTTTTAATGAAAGGAAAATAGTGGCGCTACCATAAAAATCCACCTGTCAGTTCCTCCACCAAAGAAAATAAATATGATTTACAAACAATGACTGACCCAGATCTGACAGGCTGTCATGTGCACTGCAAAGAAGGCAGTGCTGTTAGCTCAACAACAAGAAAGCTGCTGTCACTCACAAGTGTTGGCGCTCCACAGGGCTGATGAGCAGGAAATGGAGATGATAGAATGCAATTTGTGCCTCACCACACATACACTTATGCGGCTGTCGCATGAAAGGGAATAAGTGCCTACTCCTGTATCTAGTACACAGACAGACAATGTTTTGGCAGCTGTGATTAGGTTCTTCGCTGAGTGGGTGAGCATTTGATAGGAATTGTCTTCATTCCTCGCAGGCTTTTAAAGAATACACAATAATTTGGGAAGATAAGTGTCTGAATGAAAGCTAACATTTATGGATGTACTGGTAGATGATTGGCTGCCATGTGTGATACTCACGGCAACAAGAGAAAAAGGATTGTGATTGAAATAATGCTTCTCCTGATGTTTCTTCATGACTTTAGAAGAACCTCATATAAGGTCTTTGCAAAGAGCATCCTCAGCTCACTTGTTTTCTTAAGCACTTTTATGATCTCAAAGCTTTTTTCTGATTTGTACACTGGATTGATTGTATGCGTGACCTTGGGTGGCTGTTCCATTTTCTCTATTCATTCAATCCTTTCTATTTTGATCATCGATATATAACCTTTACCTACTATTCAGTATTAACATGCTCTATAATTGATTTCAGTGGTTACTGCTTCAGGCCATGAGGAAACAAAATGATTCTGCAAAAAAGGGGAAAAGATGAATAATCATTATATAACTCTGTAGACTATTTGTAGGGTAATTACCTCAAATGTGGTTCTGTTTGCAAGCTAAATCTTTTACTTGAATAAATCTAACCAATTGATGTAAACCATAACCAAGTATTTGCTTCTTCTCTTTTTTTAATCTTCACATTGACTTAATGACTTATGTGTTTCCCTCTGAACGTAATAGGCAATGATGTCAAGTTGAATGGAGACATAGCTTTGTAGGAAACAGGGTTGGGAGAGGAGGTTAACATTAACTTGGTGACTAGCTGTGACAACAGAGAGGCTATAACATCACTCAATGTGGGTTGAAAGGGCAGGAAAGAAAACTGACATCTTAAATAAGAAATAATAATAGCTGCCGCCCACTGCTTGTTATACTAGGATGGGTGTGTGGCGCTGTGTGTGTGTGACGATTAAAAGAGGATTTCATTCCAATCCTCCATTTTCATTTCCCCTTCCAAAAATCAAATGTGCTTACTAAAATGCATGAAGCAACACACCATGGGATAAAAGGAGTGCTGGACTTATTTAACCATAAGTGTAATTTTGACAGCAAACTTTATTGTAAAATAAAAACAAAAAACAGTATGATCCTTGAACTATGCAAAAGGGTATTATTTAAATATGTCTCTAGCTACTGCTTTCTGAAGCATGTGTGTTTATGTTTTTCTTGTAGGGCAGCTGCAATGTTTATTTTGCAGCCAGAAAAATAAAGATAAACTTCACTCAACCTGAGAGGGATTAGGATTTAGGGAAAGGTCCACCAATTCTGGTCCAAGAAAGGCCAGTCATTTTTTTCTCAGTCTGCACGTTGCGTTACAAAAATAGCACCAATGGTTGCTGAAGAGACTTGTACAAAGTGAATAAGACACTCAAAGGAAGGCTTCTTTCTTAGCCAGTTAATCTGCCACACTGCAGAGTCAGAGCGTGAAAGACGGAGAAAGAATATGTGGATAACGTGCAGAAATGGCACTTTGCTGTATACAGCTTTATTATATTATCATGCTGGAAGAATGCAAACATAGAAATTGTTTTAATATTAGTAATTGGATTTTGATTGGAAAAGCGACTTTAAGTTATCTTAAATTTTTTCCATTTCACTTAATGAGTATGTCAGTATTGATTTAATAAGTTATTACGATGCTCTGGGATGGAAACGTATATCATCTTCTGGATGAATTCATTATCTCATACAAGGATTGTAATAATTGATCCACTTTTAGTAACAGCTTAACCTTTATATAAGCAATCTGCACCACTAGGCCACATTATATTTAAATGATTTTTCATCTTTGCAAGAGAACAATTCAGTGGAGATGCTTCTACAAAAAAATAGCCACTCAGGGTTTCCTACACATAGACTATACTTGGGCGGGCCACCCAGACATATTAACGGTCGACCAAGTATATTTCCCATTTAGTTTTTTTTTTTTTTCAATAATTTTTTTTTTTCCGTCCGTGACCACGACGCCATCTGCGATTGATTTACTTGTGGGCAATGATCCCTCGCTCTACGCCTCCTGTACCCAGTCCCGGACTGGCCATCGGGAGGACCGGGGGGTTTCCCGATGGCCTGGCCTGTTAAGTGGCCTGCCTCACAGAGGGTGACTGGCTGTCTACATGATGTGGCCTGCCGACATGGCCTGTCATACAGATCATAAATCAAAGCCCTTGATTGGTCTCTGTGTGTCACGCAAGCTCGGGATAACCTCAGCTCAGGTGAGGTAAAGGACTCTCTGAGTGTTTAGATAGTTAACTTAGTCTAAGTTCTCAGTGGGTCTCAAATGGTTTGGTCACCATTTATGTAAACACATATTTCCATTTGAGAGGGGAGTGATTAGTAAAATATGCATGAATAAAAAAGTTAAGTAGGTGGAAAAAGGCAAGATAAACTTTTAAAACTTGTTGAGAGCTAAAACTAGTCTTTGCTGCTGCCTCAAAGAGGAGAAGGGGGGAGAGGAGGGAGACAGGAAAGGCTGGTTCAGGAGCACAGACACACTCGCAACTATAAATGAACCAAAAATAAATAAATAAACAAGTTTCAGTGTTTTTTTCATATTGGAAATGGGATGTTGTTGGTTATGGCCATGATTTTATGATTATTGAAATGTATACAGTTCTGTTTCATATAGGTGTTCCCATAGATCTAGTCTCTTTATTTCCCCCTCAAAGTGCACCAGATTGATGCTTTTAACTCCAACAGCGCATGCCCCCGGACCCCCCTAGAGGATTTGAGGTCCACCCCCACTTAAAATCACATTAATAGGTTCCTAAATACATTTACAATTTTTTAAATGGTAACTCATGTCCATATGGTTATATCTCTCACAGGCTCCGCCCTCTACTGGACTCTATGGGTACTACCTTATCATGCAAGCATTCAACTACTGAGATTTCTATAGACGTAGCCGGCCCCGGGGCGGGCCTACCTGAATGCATGCGCATCTCACTTCCGTATAAAAGGATGCCCCGCCTCCTGACCATCATCCTTTACTCTTCAGCGAGCGGAGGTGATAGCCTAGCACTGAGTCCGAGACGTACTTTTTGAGAGAAAGGAAGAAAGAGAAAGAAAGATAGCGGGCGCCGATCCCCCACCACCTCTGCTTCGAGTGTTTGGGGGACCAGGATATGGCCGAGGCGGTGCCATTTCACATTCGCCATTCCTTCCGAGTCCGGCGTCCATGGAAGTCCACCGCCCAGGACTGTACTCTCCCTGGATGACGATCATGGCGGCGGGTGTGTGGGCTACTCGCTCATTGGTAGAGATGCCCCCGCCTCACCAGGTCAGAGCGATTATTGGGGCGCAAGGCCGAATAAGTAGCTTGGTCCACGAGCCTTGCCCCAGGCCATAATTCCACTTTTTCCCATAATGTCCGTTTCGAAGAAACGGCATTGTGGCGGCGCGCGCGGCCCCCCTCCCCTGAGGGCGGGCCGCGGTGCGTTCAAAGACCTCAGTAGAGAGAAGAGTCACCGCAGCGTGCGCTCCTCCACGGGCTTTTCTGCAGACGAGGGACCGCGGCGGTGAGACGAAGGGAGAGGTGCCGGCACGGTGATCCCGTGCCCGCGGCGCCCTCCACCTCTTCAGNTAACTCATATTCTTTATTCGAATACCTGAATAATTTTCAATATTCGATTAATCGTTCCAATCCCTAATTCATTAGTAGCTATTCTTTACAACTTAATTTCTCCCTACTGCCTGCCGTTATATATGCAGGAAATACAAATGACTTCTGTGAACCTACTTGGCATATAAACCTTGATTGCTGCTTTATCTATTTGTGCTCCGTTCTTCACAAAGCATCAGCCTTGGCGTACCTGAAAAGCGTCTCGGAGGACGTGGAAAATGTTCGTCTCATTCGCCAGATGGTGAGAACTCCAGCTGCAAAGACAAACAGGAGAAAAACGTTTGTATTTCAACTTAATAAGAGTGGAATACAAAACTGGGCTTACTTGCAATTACTGCAACACTTTTACATATGTTGGTACTTCTTAAACTGTGCCAGAAAACTGCACTTTCATTTTTAAACAGTCCTTCTTTTCAGATTGATGTAGCATTTTTTTAAACGCTTCATTGCGTATTCCTGGGAGTTGATTTGGCACGAGTGATTTTATGACTTCGTGTAAGTGTGGTTTCAATGATTGGAGGATGACAGCTTTGTTGAGATCTACCCACAGGGGTCGGTATGCAGGAGGATCGGCTGAAGCAAACATGTTAAGACCTTTTTTAAGACCCTTTCCATACATTTGAAGACCTCATTGCCACTTTGAGTTCTAACCGGTTACCTTGGCGACACACTTTACCTCACATTGACTATATACAGTATTGATTGTCCTTCCGTCTTATCTTCCAACCATTTGGTCGCAAACTTGCATTTCCCCATAACGATGTTGTTTAACAACCGGCGTAAACGGACCTTCGCGCGCTATCAAGCAGAGAGCGTGCGATGTCCTGTTCAGATGACGTCAAACCCAACGGGATGCCATAAATAAACGACACAGAATCACACTACACACCTACGCAATGATTACATTCAGGCAGACTGTAGAATACAACCTCTTTGGACAATTTATATACTTATTGAAAACAAGCTACAAAATGTAATACCTTGAAAATGCTGTTTAATACTTTTTAATAGCATTAATTTTCCCTACATTGATTTATCAACTTTTAATACTTTTTAAGACCCCGCGGACACCCTGTACCATGCCTCAGGTTAAGGATGAATAGTCTTCCATTATTTCAGCACTACGACAAAAGGGACAGCAGGGAAATAGAATAGAAAATAACCTTAAGGATTTTAATCTGCGTGGGGTCTGTAGAGCGGATGTAGAAACTCTTCAGGTACGGCTCAAACATCCCCTGTAGCACACGATGGAGAGAAGAGAGGAAAATGTAATTCAGTGAATCTGCAGCATTTGGTTTTAGGTTTCACACAAACAACCAAAAGACAGCAGCAGGTGTCGCTCACCCTCCTCTTAATCGACATTGTCGCCACATTCTGAAGAACAACGTACTGGACCTCACTGTAAGGAGAGACATCAACACAAGACATTAATGATAAGGTTAAAAACTGTGGTGAAAAAATAATAAAATCCCTGTTTTTATCCTGTCTACCTGAAATCCTGTGGCCATAACAGGTCCACAGCTCTTCACAACAATGGAAATATTTGAATGAATATTTATACATAGGCAAAGATTATTGAGTATTAATAACATTTGTTGTAGAGTGATTTTCATAGGAGATGTAACTGAGCTTTAAAATAAAAATACATAAGTTCTACGTAAGAAAAGACAGTAAAAAGATATTACATAATAATATAACGTGGACAAATTGCAGTAGGTCATACTGACCTTGCGATAACATTATAGAAGAATTGGGAGTGATGGAACCCTCTTTGATGGTCACACAGTGAAATGTGTTCTCTGCTTTTAACCCATCCTAGTACCAGGAGTCTAGTACTAGGAGCAGTGGGCAGCTATTGCACAGCGCCCGGGGAGCAATGGGGGGGGGAAGGGGGGGGTCTGGTGCCTTGCTCAAGGGCACCACAGCAGGGCAGGAGGTGAACTGGGACCTCTCCAAGTAGCAGTCCACACTCCGTATTTTAGGTCTGGTCGGGGACTTGAACCGGCTACCCTACAGCTCAGAGTCCAAGCCCCTACTGACTGAGCCACTGCCGATTTATTATCATAGATCTATTTAATGTGACATTTCTCCCAGCTGCAAAAGCATATGGCATCCATTACAGGCAGTAACATCTAAAGAAAATCAACATGGTGTCTGAATCTTTGTAATCCTATTCCTTAGATTAAGATAAAACTCTGGAAGTAATATGTTTTACTTGTGCAATACAGATACTGAAATCAACATGTCAACAGAAACTAATAATCTTAATGCACACCACATCTGCACTCAGGTATGTTTGTAGATTGTCTAATAAACAAGCAAGACCAATATAACATTTCAAATCTTAAACTCTTGTTAAACGTGCATGCATTATCTCTCAGGGTAATAAACCAGTGTGTTTGTGATTAGCGCTGAGGCACTGTATGAATAATAAAGTGTTAACAAACACATGGTGGTGTGCGAAAGAGAGGCTGTTTGCCGGCTCTGAGTGATGATCCCATCACAGCCGCTCAGCCACAGGACCCCCGCTCAATAAGAGGCAGTGTGAGGACTTACAGCCCAGAGGCCATCGCTCCTCATGCTTTATGCCTCCATGTTTACCTCAGACGCACCCAGCTCCCTGTTTAATTTCACTCCTCGCTTCAGGCCGGTGCAGATTTATTTTTACTACCCTCACTTGTCATTTTTTTCTACTGTTCTCATACTATTTTCCACTTTGCTGATGGTCTTTATAGTGTTCTCCTAGCACATTCAGCTGAGTTTCATAAACGCAGCTGAATGTGCTGCAGGGTGACGTATTTAGCGAATCAAACAGGAAGTTAGCATCGCGTTGGTTTCTTTGACAAAAAGCTAAAAGGGATTCTTTATTTTGAGTTATGTCAGAAATAAGAGAAACTTTTAGGATTTAGGAGGATATACTTCACAATAGTTGAACACCACATGTAGGATTTTGAAGCATAAAAGCAATGGCTGCTATAAGCTAACATAATGCTAACTATACAACAAGCGCAGGACTTCAACGTCATCACCACTGAGTTAATGGGTTTCTTATTTTTAGCATGATGGCTTTTATTGTTCCCTGACAACATCTGTAGTCTAATTAAGTAGTCTAATTCATTGTACAATGTAGGATCCCAAATATTATGTTAATCCATCTTTTATTAGCCAATGCCCTTTTTTTTTATTGATATGTTATCTGTTGTATCTTATGTCAGAAGCAAACCATCCTTTAGCTTGTGTTAACTGTAGATTATTGTTCAGAAATCAAACATAAAACCCATTGGAAAAGCCAGATGACAGAAAGAAGTGTAAGGAAGGGGCAGATTTTTTCCGGCTGTGTATTTTTAAATTCTAGCGCATTCGAGCTGGTTTCTCCACCTTTAATTTCACAGTTTTTAATTTTCTAACAGGCCTGATGCATTAATAGGCAGCATTGCAATTTGAATAGAGAATTAATTTCAGATGGTCAGCTCACCTGTGGCTCCTCAGCAGACGGACCAGGGCCTTGGCGATCACCCCGATCTCTGCTTTAGGAGCCAGATGGAAATACAGCTGAGCCACAGCCATCACCACCTGATGCAGGGAAAACAAAAGGAGGGTAAAACAATTGCACAATATAAAATACACATACTGTGTTGCCCTCTTTCTTGTTTTACAGCAGCTGTGTCAAACTCAATGTCATCGCGGGCCACATCAGCATTATGGTTGCACTCCAAGGGCCGGTTGTAACTTTAAGACTATATAAAAATTCATATATAAATATTTAATATATATAAACGTATATGTATTATATTACAATATTTCCTCTGCATTGGATTATTATGGGATAGGTAATAACTTAATAATTAACTACTGAAAGCAGAATTATAGGGCAAATAATTGGAAGTCTCTTCAGTGAGAACAAAATGATTTTTATTAAAAAGCCAAATTCTGGAAAAAATGTGAAAATGTAAAAGAAAATGAAATTTTGAAGCAAAAAAGTCGAATTCTGATAAAAAAGAGTCAAATTCTGAACAACATTCATATTTGAGATGCATTGTGGGACATGTAGTTTATGGGCAACGTGCTTCTGTAAATCAGCATGTAAAGTATAATAAACATATTATATTCTTTGCCAGCTCTTGTGGGGCCACATTAAATGAAGTCGCGGGCCGGATTTGGCCCCCGGGCCTTGAGTTTGACCCCCCTGTTTTACAGCTAAATGGAAGAAGAACATTTTTGATTTAAAGTTCAAGAAATGATCTGGCAGTCAGGGGGGAGGGTTGTGCTTTTTCTAAAGATCTCGATCTGCATACTAAACTCAATCATCAATCGTGTTTCTGGCTACTTCATGAATGTTCAATATGATCTTTTAGCCCTGCTTCCGGCCTCCTCAGGGAAGTATCTGTCTCTTTAAGGAGTTTATTTCAGCTTTTTAGATGAAAACAGATGCCTGAAACACTGACAGGATTGATGAGAATACAGTGAACCTGTTGCCATATAATCAAAACAAGGAGCTGAAAGACGCTAAGGGGAGCAACAAAGTTCATATCAGCTTTATGTCACTTTTGATCTAAAAATAATCTTTTGAGAAGCTTTGAGATACCTTTTTTCTTGGTCACTTTGACAAAGTTTTTAACACAACATTAACATATATCCGTTTAAACTGAACCTGCAAACTCTTAATTCCACTTATTTACACATCTGGAAATGATGGAGCAACGATAGAACTCATTTGGAGTCATGTTAGTGTCTCAACATGAATGAAACTCAATAATTTGCTTTCTTTTTTTTTGTTTAGGTCCCTCTAACTCCTGGGCTCTGGCTCTTTAGCTGTTTAATGCTTCATTATGTTCGCCATGTTGTTGCTAACTGTGTCTGTGTGTTGTTTAGTGCTGAGCACTTAGTGTTGCTAGCTTCACAGATGTTTCACTGCAAACAGCTGCCTGCCACTATTAGAGCAGTGAGGGGGAACCAGAACAGTGAATTTGTGGACCGGACAGATCCACAAAGAGCTGAAACACGCTTTAGAGATAGTCTTGATCTGGGATCCGGAGATCGATTGCTTTTGTCTGTATGCATTCTTTTTTGCCATTTTGTGTGTAAGCATGTGCACATTATGCTAATTATTATGTGATCTATCATTACATGTCACTTGTCAGACACTTTTATCCAAAGCAACTTACATACTCAATACTGTGGACAATCCCCACCGGAGCAATTTGGGGTGAAGTGTCTCAGGGACACAACGACATGCTGACTGCAGTGGGGTTTGAACCTGTGACCCCTGATCCCAACACCA